CTGGTGGAACCTCTTCTAACCGGTTCGGTAGATTTGACGAACCGGTTCCACCGAATAGGCGCGAACTGGTAGGAACCCACTTCTGATCCGCACCCAACAGCAAGCCCTCCCCCATGCCCAAAATCATGCATAGCTGCCCATGAACAGTATGACATCCAGCAGTAGCCACCCAGGACCTGAAATTGCTAAACTGGATACCACTTATCTGTCTGCTGACCTGGGAATTGCATCTTCCTACCAACTTCCCTTCTGACTTTGATCGTTAAAACCTGGCAGCTCATATAGTGACCCCTTATCCTCAAGGGATGGCACTGGGGACTGCTGGGACTGCCATCACTAAGCAACGCAGACATGTGACATCAAGACGTTCAACTGCATTGCTTCCCAGTGGAAATTCTGGTCCTAATTATCATCATCATTCATCAAGGACTACACTGTAATCGGGTAAAATGCAAGCATTATTTTAGCAAATATAAAATAGCAGGCGTTGCAGCATAAAATGCAAAGAACCTGTGTGTTAATCTTCACCTAGCAGTGATACCATAATTATATAGGTAGTTGTTAACTATCTTACTTGTAAGGTTGTAGAGATTAAGGAGAAAGGAGGTACAGCAGAGTCAAACTGGTCCCACTAGCTAGACCAGACTTAAGAAATCAACTCGACACGAAGGTTACTTTTATGTGTGTTGGCTATATTAAATGGAACCTTTCAAATCTGATTATTGTGATCTGATTCACCAGGTTATGATTGAATCTGATCATTGTGAATAGTGAAGCTAGGCAATTCTGGAATAAATGATCATGTAGTCCCACTTCCCATGCATATATACATACATACATACCAGGGGTGGGTTTCTTGCCCCGTTCCAACCGGTTCGGTTGGAATGAGGCCGGCGGCGTCCTCGCGCACGTGTGCGGCGTCCTCGCGCACGTGTGCGGCATCCTCACGCACGTGTGCGGCGTCCTCACGCACGCGTGCGGCATCCTCACGCACACGTGCGCTACATGCGTGCACGCGCGTGGCGCACGCATGCGTACTAGCGTCTGCGTGACGCTCCAGCTGCCCTGGAACATCGGGCCGGGGCTGTATGCGGCCCGGGCCAGCGGGGGAGGGCCGGACTCCT